GTAGACTCCTGTCAATGTTTAATGTGCATCCCATCTGTCTTTCAAAATGAGGATTGATAATCTTACCCCATGTCTGCTCTCTTGATTATCTTTTTTAGGTGTATAGATTTCATTTTATTTATCATATCTTATAGATCTATATAAGTGAGTATATACCGTGTTTGTCTTTCTCTTTCTGGGATATTTCACTCAGGATGATCTTTCCTAGGTCCCACCATTTGCCTGCAAATTTCATGATTTCCTCCTTTTTGATTGCTGAGTAGTATTCCATTGTGTAAAAATACCACAATTTCTGTACCCATTCCTCCGTTGATGGACATCTGGGTTGTTTCCAGGTTCTGACTATTACAAATAAAGCTGCTATAAACATGATTGAGCAAATATCTCTTTTGTGTACTTGAGCAAACTTTGGGTATATACCTAGCAGTGGTATAGCTGGGTCTTGAGGAAGCACTATTCCTAATTGTCTTAGAAAGCGCCAGATAGATTTCCAGAGTGATTGAACCAATTTATATTCCCACCAGCAGTGGAGGAGGGTTCCCCTTTCTCCACAACCTCTCCAGCATGTGTTGTCCCTTGAGTTTTTCATTTTGGCCATTCTGATGGGTGTAAGGTGATATCTCAGGGTCGTTTTGATTTGCATTTCCCTGATGGCTAATGAGGATGAGCATTTCTTTAAGTGTTTCTCTGCCATTCGATATTTCTCTGTCAAGAATTCTCTGTTTAGCTCTGTTCCCGATTTTTTAATTGGATTACTTTTTTTGCTGCTTTTCAGCTTCTTTAGTTCTTTGTATATACTCGATATTAGTCCTCTGTCAGATAAAGGGTTAGTGAAGATTCTTTCCCAATCTGTAGGCAGGCGTTTTGTTTTGATGACAGTGTCCTTTGCTTTACAGAAGCTTTTCAGTTTCATGAGGTCCCATTTATTGATTGTTGCTCTTAGAGCCTGTGCTGTTGGTGTTCTGTTCAGGAAGTTGTCTCCTGTGCCAATGAGTTCTAGGCTGTTTCCCACTTTTTTTCCCAACTGATTTAGAGTATCTGGTTTTATGTTGAGGTCCTTGATCCACTTGGACTTTAGTTTTGTGCAGGGTGATAAATATGGATCTATTTTCATTTTTCTGCATGTGGACAACCAGTTGCAACATATAATAAACTGCCAGGCAATGTAAGCCCAAAAATACTGACAGAGTCTCAGTACAAGCATGCCTGATGGCTCATTCACCATCTTCGAAGTCCATCATGGCCTTTCTAGGAAGTCGTTACAAGCCTTGATTATGCAGTTAACTCATAAGAGGATACATAAAAATCAAGATAATTATAGGCAGATCAAAGCAAACAATATGTACCTCTTAAATAATCCCCTCATTCGGAGCTTTACAATATTAAGAAATATCTAATGCTAAGAAAAACACAGGTAACTTTAGAGAACTCACCACAAAACTGGTAAGTGTAAGAAGAAATTAATATATTACTTAAATTAGTCTTTCCACTATACACATGAAATTTAAAGCCATTACACGATAGATACATATATATATATAGTCATTTAAATAATCAACTAAAATAAAAATGAATGTAGAAATCCAGCATTAAAAAAACACTCTGAAAAGCTCTACCCTGAAGTGTATCAGAGCAAATGCTGAGACTTAGAGCCAAACTTAGGGTGGAGTGCAGGCAATCTTATGAAAGAAGGGGGACATAGTAAGACCTGGAGAGGACAGGAGCTCCACAAGGAGAGCAACAGAACCAGAAAATTTGAACACAGGGGTCTTTTCTGACACTGATACTCCAAACAAGGACCATTCATGGAGATAACTTAGATCCCTGCACAGATATAGCCCATGGCAGTTCAGTGTCCAAGTTGGTTCCATAGTAAAGAGAAAAGGGACTGTCTCTGACATAAACTGATTGGCCTGCTCTTTGATCACCTCCCCCTGAGGGGGGGAGCAACCTTACTAGGCCACAGAGGAAGGCAATGCAGCTACTCCTGATGAGACCTGATAGACTAGGATCAGAAGGAAAGGGAGGAAGACTTCCTCTATCAGTAGACTTGGGGAGGAACACGGGTGGAGAAGGGGAAAGGAGGGTGGGATTGGGAGGGGAGGATCGGGGGAGCTAGAGGGAGGGATACAAAGTGAATAAACTGTAATTAATAAAAATTAAAAATAAAATAAAAAAACACCAAAACAAAAAAAATGTATTATGATTATCCCCCAAAACTAAGATAATGAAAAAAATACTCAGTCCTACTTGAGACCAAGGAATGTTTTAAAATATTTTTTTATTTATGCTTCTTAACTAAAGGAGCACCTTTAATAGTAGAAGATACTCCTGTGCTTCGAAGTTTGGTGTTTTCTCGGATAAAATTGTGCTGAATTGGTGTTATGCTGCCGTAAATCTTGTTAGTAGCATCAATTTTGGCTTTTACATGTACCAGTGATCTCGGTGATGGAGGTAACCCATTTATTTCATACAACCAATATATTTTATCTGTCTGAAAATTAAAAGAGGGAGAGATATAAGAAATACTCAGAGACCTAGAAGTAGTAGGGAAACATTTATTATGAGAAGTAGTTTCTGTTTATCATATCTGGTAGGTAAAAGATCAAAACCAGAAGTTTAATTTATAATAAAATACATAATGTGTTAATAAAGTAAAACTATTGGCTTTATAAATAAAGGACCAATCACTGACGAGAAAAATTTCTTAGCTAAAGGTCTGCCATGTAGGTGAATGAAGGCATCAATTGGTAAAACAGAGAACAATATATTTGTTAGATATGAGATCACTGCCTAGTATGAACTAAAATTAACAGAACAATACTTTTCAAGATATACTTTTAAATGAATATTTAACTCGGGCCACAGAAATGACTAGCAAAGTACTGCAATATAATTATTGGAATATGAAAGTATAAAACATTAAAAAATATACCAAGAGGTATAAGAGCATTGAAAATATTCATAATCTAAGTCCAGGTAAATATCACTTATATAGGATTTTATTTTAAAACATTTCACTTTTTCTGGCAAAGTAAATATAAATATGTACTGAATTTAAAACCAAATATAAACATGTGCTGAATTTGGCATTCTAGAATTTTCAGTGTTTGTATTCAAACCCAATCATACTTATATGTTAAATTCACTGCTTCTGGATAATTTTCTGAAGTCACTTTTTATATAGGCTTTATCCTCACAATACGCTTGAGTCATGTGTGCTAAGAAAATTATTTTAAAGAAAGTCCCCAAGCAAAGTGAATACTGAAATACACCAGACCAAATATGTAAAGCAGAATCTATAAATGGACACTGAGTATATGCACACTGTTCTTTAATATCACACGTGATCTTATTTTAATCACATGTGGACATTTTATCTAGTATATGCAGTAATTATACATTCATAGTCCATGATGCAAAAGCTAAACAAACCTAGAAACAAAATAAAATTTGAGCTAAATACCATCACCTTTTATATGGGTATGTATGTAATCTGAAAAATAAAGCTAGATTTTGAAGGTTTTGCAAATGATACCCCAAACTTTTTTTTTTTCAGTACAACTAAAAGTCTTCAAGGGTACAAAGGAGTGTGCTAAATGAAAATACCAGTGCCTGGCTGCAGCTGGGTATTAATCCATGATATTCATGCCAGCATGCAGTTGAGTTACATAAAGGAATTAATAAACACCCCTAGCATCTAGTGAGTACAAGTAGAAGCTACATGGGGCTTGTACTATTACCAGACATTTACATTCAAGATTTTAAATGCTAACTATACATTATTGTTAAAGTTACAATTAGATTTCCTCCATTTGAATGGAGACTGCAATTATTTTACAGTGATTGAGTCAGTGTGTGTGTATAATTTAAGGAAGCTGCTTTGGACATTTGTCCAACTAAGCTAAATAACAGTAAAAAATGTTACTATATAAGATAAAGATTAAGCTTTGCAATTCTATCTATGAATAATTTCTTCAACCCAAATATAAATATGAACAATTAAATGTTTTCAAAACTATTATACAGATAAAATCTGATACATATCTTCTACCCAATATTTCTTTTAAAATAGAATTATTAAATTTCTTATTGATGTGTTTAGTTTGTGTGTATATGCCTGTGTGTGTATGCATGTACCACACACATGCTTGCTCATGTGTGCTCATGTACTGTTGTGTGCCTGCAGAAGTAGGAGTACAATTTATGAGAATCAGCTCTCCTCATACCATGTAGGTTCCAGAGAAAGACTGAACTCAAGTCTTCATCAGTGCTGGCAGTAAGCAAGCACATTTACCCACTAAACTATCTCAGGAGATAAATTAATCACTCTGAACCATTAAGGAATTTTGAAATCAGTATTGATAGTTCTAAAAAACAATCTGGACTATTGCCTAAAAAAAGGGCTTTGAACATATTAAATTTTCATATTTTAACAATCACTGTTTTGAAAAGAAATCAACTGAAGCCAATGTCCTCATGGATGAATGACAGATGCTGTTAACCTCAATGTCTAAGGTCAAAAATATTAGTAATTATCCATTAACAAATATACTCTATGGTCACCTCAGATCTCCCTGGTGTTTTCATTTGAGTGAATGTCTGATGTAATTTCCACTACCTAGTGTTTTCAACTCTGACTTTTCCTCTCCAGAAACTCCAGTTCCTGTTTCAGTTGGTGTTGGGTCCTTAACTTTCTCTGAGCCCATTTCTCAGTCAATAACTGGAATAATGAAAGGTGGTACATAAAATCCCTATATTTCTGCCCACCTTTTTGTGTATGAAAATTTCAAGGTGTGAATTGGAAACTATTTGTGAAAGATCTCTTATGGGATTAATTTACATTTTCTTACTGTGGTAGATATTTATTTATGTATTTATTTATTTGGTCACTTTACAGCCTGATCCTAGCCCCTCCCTCCTCTTCTCCCAGTCCCACCTTCATTCCTCTCTTTTCCCCCTCCTCAGGCCCTTCTCCTTTTTCTCAGAAGGGGAGGCCTCCAAGGGGTGACAACCCATACTGGCACCTCAAGTCACAGCAGGACTAAATGCATCCTAAATCAGTGAGACATGACAAGGTAGTCCAGCCACAGGGAAGGAGAATTCAGTGGCAGGCAACAGAGTCAGAGACAGCCACTATTCTCATTTTTAGGGGACCCACATAATGACCAAGGTGCACATCTGCTACATGTATGTAGGGAGTTTAGGTTCAGCCCATGCTTGCTTTTTGGTTATTGATTTCTGTACTTATTTCTTGGTATATTGTAACAAATAGTCTACTTAAATTTACTTTTTTTCAAGGATCTGTTTCCAATGAAATACAAAAGTATATGCATATTTAGAATACTTGTTCTTACTGTTTCATGCTAATGAAAAATTTGTTTAGAAGCAATGCATCAAAATATATAAATGTCTGCTTTATATACACAAATAAAACAAATACTTATATTTGTGTAGTAGTTACAACAGAGACACATAGTTATACTTTGACATATTTTATACTGATATATATATATATATATATATACATACATCATCTTATTTAAATATCACAATGAAGTATCATATATTTCATGTTCTATAACTGAGAGTTATCAAGGTTTCTCAAGTGTAGTATGTATTTGTGTGGGTATGTACCTGTGTGCGCATGTACACATCCTTCTCTAGGAACAAAGCCATGCTATCCCTTTAAACATGATGGACCAAGAACAGTAAACTATTTGCTGTATAATGTATATATACTGTATAGCAAGGTACCCTGAGAAATAAATGCATGTGTGTGCATACGTGTGGAAGCCAGAGATTGTCATCAGGTGTCATCTCTGATTGCTCCTGCTCTACCTGCTTGTTCTATCTATTTATTTATTTATTTATTTATTTATTTATTTATTTATTTATTTATTTATTTATT